GTCAGAAGCTGAGAACAGAGGCACAAGAGGCTGAGGAACAGGGACAGAGGAGAGAAGCAAGGCCAAGACTATGAGACTGAGCGGCGGCAGAACAGTAGCCTGGGCTCAGTCCCATAGAGACAGAGGTCAAGGGGCCATGTGGCTGAGAATCCACAAACTAGAAAGAGACTTAGCAGTTGACTAAGTTAAGGCATTGGCCAGTGACAATAACTATCCTTACTGCTTACTAATCCTAGTTTGTGGTAACCTGACAACTTCCCTACTAAACCCCTTGAATTGGGAATGTTGTCTGTGAGGTCTGTGTGGCCATTTCAATGAATTTCCAAACCCCATCTAGAAGTAGGTGGAGGGTGGAGGCATGTCTGGCCTCTGCCTGTGGCAATAAGGAAGAGAGAGGGCAGATGTCGCCACTCCACGCCGCTTGCTGCAAAACCATTCTTCACCCCCCACACAACTTACAACTCCAAAAGAATCAGAAATCCCTGTGTAATTAAAGAGACACATAAGGAGAGATAACGAGGTGGGGGAAATCCTTTCTATCTTGTAGAGACCAGCCTCCACAGCCGAATTAGTTTAAGGAGGGGAGGGTGTTGCACAATTGAGGAAGACATTAAAGAGACATCAGACAAGACAGAGCAGGCCAGGAGACTGGAACCAGAATGAGGCGGTAATGTATTCTCTCACAAGCTTATCGAATCTGGGCCATGCAAGCCATGGTAAGTACATACATAACAGGCAGGGGTGGTATTAGAGGCATACATGAAGCATGAGGGAACGAACTAGGGGTGTACACGCTACAGGAAGCAGAGGTACTGGGGACATACAGGGGAACACTCTATGATCCTTATCAGAAGGGAGTGGGGCTCCTTAGGGTTAAATGGTCAGACTGCTTTTGAGGGCTGATAACCACCAGGCAAATAGCCTTCAAGCAGTTAACTTTCTTTTTTTTTTAATTATTTTATTAGGGGCTCATACAACTCTTATCACAATCCATACACACCTCAATTGCGTAAAGCACATTTGTACATTTATTGCCCTCATCATTCTCAAAGCATTTTCTCTCCACTTAAGCCCCCGGCATTAGGTCCTCATTTTTCCCCTCCCTCCCTGCTCCCCCCTCCCTCATGAGCCCTTGATAGTTCATAAATTGTTATTTTGTCATATTTTGTCCTGTCCAACGTCTCCCTTCACCCACTTTTCTGTTGTCCGTCAAGCAGTTAACTTTCAAGTGCATATAGTAGCAGCTATGTGCAGTTAACTTTCAAGAGCATATAGTAGCAACCATGTGCAGTTAACTTTCAAATGCATATAGTAGCAGCCATGTGCTTGCAAGTAGCACCTTGAAATCGGCATTCTTCTGGGGGGACATGATGGGGGATCACTTTTACGTAGGAGAATGTGACAGGATCGCATCTCCAACCTAGGAATGCGAAGGTCTGTGGGAAACAGAAAGATTTCTCCCAAGTTGTCGCCCCCAAATATATGGCAAACTTAGCTGCCTGCTACACATGGCAGATGACTAGACAATTAGAGGTCAACGATAGTAGGTCAGAAGTTATTCTCCCTAAGGATTATCAGTCATCGAGAGCAATCAGAAGGTATAGTCTGTCCCACCCTAAGTAGAGCTCACTCCCTTCTGATAAGGATAGTAGTAGATTGTTTCCTGGAAGGAGAGCCCAGGGAGGTCAAGCCCACTCAAGGGTGACCAAGGTTAGTTAGGTTGCCATATTGAGTCTAGAGTCTGCCCTTCTGGTCACATGTGTACCCCTAGTCCCTCCCCTTCCTGTTCATGTGTACACCCCTAGCTCATCCCCTTCCTGTCACGCTTATGCCCATTGTATATCCCCCTCCTATTGCTTGTATTGCCTATTGTACAACCCCTTCCTGTGATGTATGTCTTTACCTGTAATCAGGGGGCATGCACGCCCCTAAAGATAGCTAAGCCTTGGTTCGCAATACATCGCTCTCTCCTCTCTCCTGCCCGCTCTGCCCGAGTTGTGCGTGGACCTGGCTGTTGAGATCATGGCCATCCAGGAGGTGAGCAGGCTACCATGAAAAGTGTCTGACTCCTTTATTTTCCTCTCTCTCTCATCTCTTCCTGTTCTCTATGGCTTTACCATAATCTTTACAGATCGCAACTGTACAACTGCGCTTACTGAACCCATGATTAGTTGTGGGGAGCTGGCTTCCCCCACCAAGGTCTCCCAGACGCCTTACCATCTGAGAGGAGAGAATTTGTCCACACACACTCTCTTCCCAGTCCTGTTGCCCACATTTCCCCCTTGGTCTTATTTTTCAAATTCAAAAGAGCCACTGAGGCAACATAGTCACTTTCTAAACATCAGAAACCTGACCGCCACGAGCAAAATAATGACATGGACATACCAGAACTTAGACTATAGGAAGTGCTTTGAATCCAGGCCCAGGGAGTTAAGCAGGGCCCCCACCCTACCCCCACCAGCCCATCACCAACTGTTTAATTATGCCAATGATAGGGGATGGTTGAAAATCTAAACGGCTTGAAAATCTGCTTGTACCTGTCTAATATCTAATGGGCTATTTCCCTACCCTAAGCTATGAGAAAGACTTTGATTGCAAATTCCCTTTTTCAACCAATTGATCTCTAATGAGATGTTTCCCTTAAATCTCTGCCAGTGGTTCCTAATTAAAAGCCCAATCCTGTCAGTTTACATTATGTAGATAAGGGGTGAAAAATGAAATATTTAACGTCAACTGAAATTGAAAGTCCATAATCTGATCTTCTGGTAAGTGAACAGTCATTGCAGTAGCCCGATGAGCTTTGTATAAAAATGTTCCGTTAGGACAGCGCCCTAAAGCGTCTCCCTGGGGACATCAGCAATGGTAGGAATGATGATGACAACCGGGAAGGCAACAATTCCGTTCTCACAGATCTGCCAGGGCTTCTGGATGTCTTGGGTAATTCCAGCTACAGAAAGCAAGGTCTTTGGGTTGTCTTATCACCCTCCAGGTCACACTGTCATCTGGTCCTTACTTCCTGAGCCTGGCCCAACTTACCCCAAGGGGGAATCCATTTACTGACTGCCAGAAAAGACACAAAGCAAATAACCCCTCCCAAGGGCGGTTCTCAACCGCCCGATTGTCCTTCCACCAGGGCTTCTCTGGATGAGCTTTCTCTGGGACAACAGGAACGTGTTCATCTGTCCTCCTGTTAGAAGCTTTGGGGGCGAGAAACTTGTTTGAGTTAATAAAGCTAAATGAAGCTTGTCACGTACAGAATCGCCTTTTGTCTCCCCCCTTCTGTTTAGTCATTGAGATTTTAGAGTGCCTTGTGCCCACTCAATAAGGGCCTGTCTCTGAGGGTTGTAACGGATGCCTGTGACACGATGATTCTTCCAATCTGGACAAAATCTACAAAATCGTTTGCTGGTATAAGCGGGGCCATGTCGCTTTTCAGCTGTGTTGGAGTGCCCACCACAGTGAGCCAGGACGGTAAAGGGCCGATGACCTGGTTTGTGCATTTGCCAGTCATGCCTGACGCCCATAAAAATCCTGAGACAGTATCTACTCTATTGTAGCGTGTTCAGCTCCTAGGCAGCCAAAAGAGGGTGTGTGAGTTGCATCCGTTTGCCAGAGTGCATTTGACCGGTCTCCGCAGGGAGTCACTCCATCAGGACCCCCTGAAGCGAGGTGTGCTGACAGTGAGGGCATTCTCCAACAATTTGTCAGGCTCGGGCCCACGTTCGAGGATCTCTCTGTCTTAGGCTCGCAGCATCGCTGTGCAGACTCTGATAATCGCCTTCTCGGAGTGTAAGAGTAGTGAATGCCTTTTGAGTTCACCCAGCGACCGTAGCATTTCCCATAGAAATTGGCTCTGGCAAATATGTGTGTGCCCTCCTGTGCCCAATGGAGAATGCATGGAGGCAGACCTTATATTTTGTATTTTTCCTGAAAATAATGGTGCCATTAAATATTTATGTTAAATCTAAGATTCCCTAACTTTATTAAGTATCTGCTCTCTCATTTCACCCATGTCTTGTGGTGCTTAACACTGTTATCAATGGTTTTATGAATCATGATATTTCATTGTGTGAATGTACCAAAGTTTGTTCATCCATCACTCTATGTTCAGAGTTTCTGGGGCTTTCATCTTTTTGCTTTTATAAAAGTTGTGACAGCAAATCTAGGTGTGTGTGCGTGTGTGTCTGTTCATATTGTGTTCTGAAATTCTTTAGGGTGTGTACCCAGATCTTTCCAGAATTTAAACCATGCCACAATCCCTTGTTCTGTTAGAACAGCCTCTTGTCTCATGTAGTTTCCACATGAACACAGTGAAGTTTTCTCGAAATCTCGTTTTTCTCAATGTTATCCACAGTTTACTCTAGCCCACACAGTCAACTGCCTTTACAGAGTCAGTAAAACACAAGGACACATCCTTCTGGCTTTCTTTGCTTCCAACCAAGATGCATCTGATGTCAGCTCTCAGGCCAGGCCTTCCTCTGAATCCAGCTTGAGTTTCTGGCGGTTCCCTTTCATGAACTGCTGAAACGCTTTAAGATGGATTTTCATCAACATTTTACCTAAAGATAATATTATCAGTGATCTTGACTAAGTACCAAGTTCTGGTGTATCACCTCTCTTTGGATGAGCACAGCCATGGATCTCTTATGTGCCAAGGTAGCGGGATTCCAAATCTCTTGCAAAATAGAATGAATGTTCCCAGTGTTTACTGAGCATGTGGAAACGTTTCAAACGTTTCATCAATTCCGGGAATTTTGCATTTCCGAGCCTTCAGTGAGAGGTCCTATCCAATCTGCCCCCATGGGAGCAAGGTTGAGTACAATGGCCCAGACAAAGGGCACCTTGCGAGTGAACGCCTCTGGCCCTGGCCCTGAGCCATGGTGCTGAGGCTTGGTTCCCTCTGGGTCTGATCTCTGGGTCTAATGACAGCTGGCTGGGAGTGAGGCAAGGTGTGGCTTGCGGAAGGCGTTAGTGTGGGCAGGCTTCCTAAGGCTGCTATCAAACCAAACCCTAAGGACTCACTGCCCTATGCATTTTGACCCTGTAGGACAGACTTCCAGTCAGAGTCCGTCTCTGGTGGCCACAGCAGCTGCGATGTGGGAACCACTCCATGCACTGGGCGCTCTCACCGCTGCATGGCTTCTGCTGGGGGCAGCGTGGAGAGTGGGCCGCTTGGTCTATGTCTACCTACTGCCCTGGGCTCGTCGGGGTGACTCTTGGATCCGGGCACAGGGAGCCTGGGCAGGTAGGTGAGGGTTTGGTGTTGGGAAAGTGAAGGTAAGGATGAAGCAACTAGGAGAGCTGGAAGGGGGCAAGGGTGGAGGGAGGTCCATGAAGCAAGAGGCATGAAGGCTGGCAGGACCTGGGCAAGGAGGCACCAACCCCTCTCTCCCAACCTGCTCCTGCACAGGTGAGTGGAGCAGGTGAGTTGAGGAGAATCAAGTGTTTTGACCCACTTGCTGCTCAAGGGAGGAAAGAGGTGGCCTCTGTTTCTGTCGAGATTCCCGCACACTCGCTGCCAGCCAGATGATGACCCCTCTTAGAGACCCTGCGGGACAGAGCAGACGTGCTCCTCGGGTTTCTGAGCTGGGCAGCGTTAGGGAAGCAGGCAGCCTCACTTGCTCCCGCTGAGTAAGTGGGCTGAAACTGCCGACCTTGCTGCGAACAGCCCACTCGGCCCCCAGCTCCTGTGTGAAGATTTCCAGTCTCCAGACCAGGCCTAAGGCACTGAGCTCAGTCCATGTCAGAGCAGCAGCGGAATGTGGGGTTTGTGAGACCGCACATATTCCCAGGAGCAGAGAGCCTCCTCTTTCCCCGGCAGAGCAGTTGGTGGGTTTGAACCGTGCACCTTTCAGCTCACAGCCCACTGCCTGGCTTAGTGGAAGATTAAAGCCACTGCCCTGGTGTGGAGTCTGACTCATACTGACCCTATGCTGAGCTACAGAGGCTGTCAATCTTTATATGGGCAAAGAGTCTCATCTTAGTACCAAGGAGGGGCTGGTGGGTTTGAACAACTGACATTGCGGTTAGCAGTCCACTGCTTACAAAGAGCAAAAAACAGTGCAAGCTCACAGCCACGGAAAGCCTTGGGAGCAGTTCTCCTGTGTCCCATAGGGTTGCTGAGTCTGAATGGAAATGACCCCACAGCAAATCCGTCTAAACCCAAACTCATTGCCTCCGGGTCATTTCTGCCTCACAGTCACTCGAGACAGGGGTTCTCAACCTGGGTGTCGCGACCCCTCAGACCATCGGAAAACACATAAATCTTTCACAATATTTAATTACATATTGTTTTGTGATTCATCCCTATGCTTTAATGTGGTTTAAGTATATTCAATTTGTAGCAATGAAAATACATCCTGCCTATCAGATACTTACATGCTGATTCATAACAGTAGCAACATGACAGTTACGAAGTGGCAACAAAAATCATTTTATGGTGGGGGGTCACCACCACATGAGGAATTGTATTTGAGGGTCGCAGCATTAGGAAGGTTGAGAACCACTGCTCTAAGGGGCAGAGCAGAAATGCTTCTCTGGACATCCGTGTGGGGGCAGACAGCTCATCATTCTCCCGATGAGGAGCCACTGCTGGGTTCGAACTGCCGATCTTCAGGTTAAGGGTCCAAGTGGTAACACAATATGTCACCAGGAAGCCACAACAGAGGGTTTGGGATTTGGATTTTGGAGCTTGTGTAGGAGAACAGGGCAGAGGAGGGAGGAGGGGACGAGGAATAAGAAGCGGCAGAGTGGGTGTGGGTCCTGGTGGAGAAGGCTCTGGGGCCAGCTGAGCTGCAGCCCAGGCAGACGGCCCCCCAATGTTGGAGCAGCCCAAGCCTGGGGGGGGTCACTCAGGCCTCATGTTTCCTTCTCTCCACAGTGGTGACAGGAGCCACGGATGGCATAGGCCGGGCCTACGCACACCAGGTGAGTTGGGGTTGGCACAGGGCAGGAGAGAGGGGGTTTCTGGGGTCTGCCAGCCACACCTTTGCTATGACTGAGCCTCTGGTATGTGGTTTGTCTGTCTGGTTGAGACTCCTCCTCCCTGACTCCTCTCCTACACTGTCTAAACTGGGGACAGGGCTTACACTGCACTCTACTGCCCCTGCTCCCTCCCCAGTCACTCAAAATGCATCGACCGCCCCCACCCCCACGCCATGTCTCACACCCCACCCACCCCACGCGGGATGGTTGCTTGTTGCGCTGCCAACCTCATGTGATCCGCAGTTCCAAGCCACCAGCTGCTCCCTGGAGGGGGATGCTCCCTCTAGATGGACAGCTTCGGAAACCCAAAGGGAGCCGGTCCACACCATCCAATAGTGTCGCTATAAATGGAATGCCCTCCGTAACCGTGGGTTTTAGTGGGGGCGGGGGTACATGCACCAAATCGTTAAATAATTAAAATATGAAATAAGGTGTTACAGTTGTATAAATATTTTTTAAAGGTGTAGTTAAAAGCTGAGCTACCAGCCAGAAGATGGGCTGTTGGAACACACCTGAGAGAGTATAAATTCTAAGGCATCTCGCAAAAAAAAAAACTTGGCAGAAAGGGAAAAACTATCACAGTCCCCAAACCTCATGGAGCATAGTACAGAGTGGAGAGGAGGGTAGTTCCATAGAGTGTAATGGAGTGGAGTGGATGTATTCAGTGGAGTAGGGTGGAGTGGAATGGAGTGGTGTGGAGAGTAGTCAGTACAGCAGAATGGAAGGGAACGGAGTGGAGTGGCATGTATTCAGTGGAATAGAGTGAAGTCGAAAGGATTGTAGTGGAATGGAGTGGAGTGGCATGTATTCAGTGGA